GTATTAAGTAATTTTACTTACATTTCATTAACTTTAATTAAAAATAATATACTGAAAAATATTGACTTTTGATTTAAAAAAAACACTAAAAAAATGTACATTCACTATACTCTAACACTTTTTTTTAATACTCTAATTATTTCCAAACTTGTATGGAATATTCTTTAAACAAAGTACTACCGGTAAACATTGGCAAACCAATAAAAAAGCGTAAACCATTTTCCTAGAAGGGAAAGAATTTTTTTTTTTTTTCACTTTTTCAAACAAAGTTTTGGTGATTAGAGTTTGAAAACTAGACCGAAAGTGTAGCTACAGTGGAGCTATAAAATAATATATATAAATATAATATTTTCTGTAGTCAAACATTAATAAATCATTAAGGAGAACCAAAAAAAAAAAATAATAAACTATTTTGAGCGAAAAATTATAACATAATAATAATAATAATAATTATACAAATTTAATTTTTTTTACATTTATAACGTACATTTTTATTATAAGATAACACATAAGGTATTTTTGGCAAACATTTTAGGAGATTTAGAGGTTAAATATAATATATTACTATTTTATAATATACATAAGTGCAAGTTTTAATTTTTCAAGTCATTAGCTTAAAAATATGTATGGAGATTTGGTCCGAACCGGTTCCATCAGTAAACATTACAATTGACTATTTATTTCCTCATTTTGGATTTGTTGTGGTACACGGTCACCACCGCTTGGTCCGGCGTTCGTATTTTTTTCAAAATACGCGATTGCTTGTTTCATAGTACGTTTTAACTCTTGTTTGGCTAAGAAGGGAGTCGGTAGAAGTCCGACTTTCTTATATACGCCAGTACTCACCAAGCCCATCATGTTACCATACCGTTGACTGAACTCCATGCATGTAAGTTTAAAAAATTCTTTTCGTTCTCTCAAATAACTGTCATTCACCCTTACTACGTCGATGGCGGCTATTATTTGACGTACCGACTCCGTCGATATTAAATACAATTTAAACTTGTTGTAAATGTGTACTATTATAAAATTGATCGTACCAAAGTAATCATTAATTTTTTCCGACGACAGCAAGGCTATTATTTTATTTGATAAATGACATAATCTACCCAACATCGAAATGCCTTCACTTTCGAAAACGTTCATAAACCGAATATATGCCTGGGCGTAACGTCCTTGATCTACACAGTTCATCATCACTGCGTTCAATGTTTGACCAACGGCACCACCGCAATAGGTTTGCAGTATTACTGCCATAAAACTTTCTGTTCTTTCTGTATTGGTTGTCGGCGAATATCCAGAGAATAAAATATTATACCACTGATTTTCAGTAACCGTAAAGGGTGGCATCACACCGAATTTTTCATAATCCAATCCACCGAAGATTTGGTATGGCTCAACATTCGGTATACTAACACATCTTTTCTGCGGGGCTTCTACGGTTTGGTTCGGTTTATCTCTTGTATAGCACGTATTGTCCAAAAACACCAAACTCATAAATTTCGATTCGGTTATTTGCAAATTCTGAATAGTTTCCAATGTGATCATCGTCTGACAACGGCTAAGACTGCATAGTGCAATAATACAGATTTGGAACACAAACATTGTTTTAAACTTATACTTGTTAATTTTCGGGAAAAAACATCAAAACGGCTATCTACAAACAAACGATATTCTTTATATAATGAACACTAATGTTTTTCACAAAAACACTAAGAACTTTTACAAAAAAATAACTGCTCACTACAAAGTATTTGGTATTGACTGAATCGTCGTTATAACTGTCGAGGCAATCCAAAACACTTTTTACAGCTACATTAAATTTGTTCCTAACGGTAATAATTTTAGTAGTGGGTAGGAATATTTTTTAGAAAGACTAGAACAAATAACTAGACGATATTGGATAGGTACCATGTTTGAAGTTCGTTTCTTGTACTTTCCCCCTTCCCCCCGTCCTTTATCGTAACGTTAGTATTCAAGCACTCGTAAAGGCGTATTATATTTGTGGTAATATTTAAATGTAAAAAAAAATACTTGATTTATTCATGAAAAATAATAATGCGAATTCAGCGGTCACCGCGGCAGTGTTTGCTAATGTGTAGGTACTGGACTCGACTTTGGTACAATCATGCTATGCGGGTTTCTGTAAAATCGCAACGAATTTCAATGCCAAAACGAGTTTAGGCTTTATTTGTTCAAGGTTTTGTATGAAGAGCTGCTGTTATTCGCGCGCTTTTGGCAAAACAATACGGTATCGTTTCATGTACATGGTGACTTTGGCTGAACAGAATGAAAAAAACCTATTACTCTATTTTATAATTTTATTGGTTTTAGCGCGCCTAATTTTGATATATTTTAAAAAAAATCAATTATTTCAGATTAACAACTTAATTAAAACTGTGGGGAAAAAAAATCTAACATCTTAGAAGAATTTGAGACAGTCATAATAAACCAATCATACTGTACAACATATATTGAATATGAATACTTAGAAAAAAAAATTTCTTGTAACATTATTACTTTTACATCCACTATTGACTAGTATGTAGCCATGGCTCGTCTAATGATGATGATATTAATGACAGTGCATTAGCCTAACACACGAATATCAATATACTCATAACAGTTTAAAAATGAGAGATGCCGTTAAAAAAATAATGATCTGGTCTTTATCGTTATTGAGCAACATCTGCGGCTAATTACGAAACTATTGGCCGATCTAGAATTTATTTTTACATCAAAAACTTATCGATTATTCCGCTAGATAGTACTAGTAAGATGAAATATAAGAAATTATATAATTTAAAAAATAAGGAGATTGTTTCAAATAAGCAATATGGCACATTGAAGGGTTAAATTGGTGTGGGGTAAGTGCGTTAAAATATTTTTTTTTTTTTACTTATTTCTTTATAATAGCTTACTTTCAAGGTTTATGATTTCGCTATGGGTATCTTTGTTATCCTTGGTATTGAAGCTATTCATATTTTATAAAAAAAATGAAGCAGTTGAAAATGTAATTTTTAGAAGAGCTTTAAAAAAAAAAGTAAAGAGATGCATTAACCCCATAACTCGGGGTAAATACTTCTAAATGTAATAGTATAAGTACGACAACTGGGCAAGAGCGTTAAAATATAAAATCATAGCTATAAACATTTTTTATCAGTTTTAAATATAAATTTTTTTTTCATTCGCAATAAACATTTTAAATTAACGAAATTTAAAACTTAAAATTTAACATTTTTATTTACTTTAAATCAATTAAAATTTCACTTAGAATAAGTCTTTTAGGTACAAATTGTCACATTTATTATTATTATTATTTAGGTAGGTACTAATTTAAACAATTTTTTTACGAACTTTTTTTCTTGTAGACGTTCTTGGCCTATTACGAGGCATTGTGCCCTACAAGTAAATAATATATTTTTTTTTTAGTTAGACTTCAAATAATATTTATTAACAATTGTGTTTTTGTATGGAAAAAAAATGACGCTCTTGTCCCGGTATTACGTAACGGGCTTTACCCGTGAATACTTTTCAGCGGGGTAAGTGCATCATTGAATATAATAGTAAATAAAAAGAAGAATTACATAAAATTCATGACAAAAACACAAAGCACATTAGTAATGGGTTTATATTGACTAGGAAAAATTTGATGACTCTGTATATTTTATTGATTATAAATTTTCAAAAACAGTACGTTCATTTAAAAAAGTTGATAACACTACCGAGCATTTCTTTATCAAGCCAGTTTTATCATGTGTTTGTTATACAGTGTTGCCATATATAAAAATGTGTTTGGAGTAACAATTAATTCATTATTTACTTATTATCTGTTGTTTCAGAAGTATCATACTGTTATTAGTTTGTAACAACGCGCTTACATATTATTACAAGAGAGCAGATTATTAGTTTTTTACACATATTTATTAGCTTTATGCAGTTCTACGGGGTTGAACAATTTGTAGAACACATCAGATATTATTTTGCCTAATAGAGCAGATTTGGGAGGTAAGAGATTATATTCAGGTTTGAAAATTTTTGAAATTTAGTTTACCAGTAATAATAGAATATATATTTTTTTTTATTAAATATAGTCCGCGACAGCTGTGGTCATTGGACTGTCAATAGAATATTATGAGATTTTTTTTAATAAGAATATATTTTTTTTTAGCTGACATATATATATGTATGACTAGTCTAATAGTGTGAATATTCGTGGAAAAAAATAAACCAATGCGATGCTCTGTAACAAGAGATTATAATTTTTTTTTCTGCGTTTAACGTCATATTTACAATATTTACAAACTTACCTGTAACAAGAGAAACCACAAGTTGTAATTCTTTGTTACACCTCTAACTGTTAATATAAACTTAATATGTTAAACAATATCTTACACTTTTTAAATTAAACAATATTTTACCGAGTTATGTCTTACCGAGTTGTTCTGGATTATATAGCCTTAATATTTTACCAAATCCGAGACGAACGTAAATTTCTTGAATTTTAATCTGAAACCTTTTTTTTGTTATTGCCTCTAATACCTGTTTTATATGTTCCACGTGTTTCTCAAACAATGGTGAGTATATCAAGATATCAACAATATCTTACACTTTTTATATTAAACAATATTTTACAATTTTTATTTAAACAATCTATACCAACTGATTCCATGTATTCATTTCTTCTGATCAGTAATACCAACTTATGTAGCTCACACCAATGTACAATAAAGAAAGTATTTTGTTTACATAAATATATATATATATATATATATATAATATTTTCTGTGGTCAAACATTAAATAATTATGGAGAACCAAAAAAAAAGAAAAGAAAAAACCATTTTGGATGAAAAATCATAATTTAATAATAATAATTATACAAGTATAATAAAGAAAATTTGTAATTTTTTATTAGACAACACATAAGATATTTTTGACAAACAAAAGGAGATTTTGAGGTTAATTATAACACATTACTATTTTAAAATATACATACGTGTGAGCTTTAATTTTCATCAATTTTTCAAGTCATGAGTTGAAAATGTGTGTGTGTAGATTTTGGTCCAAACCGATGCCACCTGTATACATTATAATTGTCTATTTATTTCCTCATTTTGAAGTTGTTGTAGTACATCACCGCCGCTTGGTCGAGCGTCCGTTTCTTCTTTAAAGTACATGATTGTACGGTTTAAAATACGTTTTAATTCTTGTCTGGCCATCTGGGGAGTCTCTAGAAGTTCGACGTCGTCATATACGCCAGTACTCACCAGGCCCATCATGTTACCATACCGTTGACTAAACTCCATGCATGTCAGTTTAAAGAATTCTTTTCGTTCATTCAAACCCCCCCTTTCGGACACTCTTACTACGTTGATGGCGTCTCTCATTTGAAGCACCGGCGCAGTCGATATTAAATATAATTTAAACTTGTTGTAAATAAGTTCTATTATAGGAATAATCGTATCAAAGAGCTCATTAATTGCCTTCGATGCCTTCTTCGTTATCATTTTATTTGATACATGGCATAATCTACTCAACATCGAAATTCCTTCACTTTCGATTACGTTCATAAGCCGAATATATGCCTGGGCGTAACGTCCATTATCTACACAGTTCATCATCACTGCATTCAATGTTTGACCTACGGCACCACCGCAATAGGTTTGCAGTATAATGGCCATATAGCTTTCTGTTATTTCTATATTGGTTGTCGGCGCATATTCAGTGATTAAAATATTATACCGCAGATCTTCAGTAACCGTAAAGGGTGGCATCACATTGTAGTATTCATATTGCACTTGTACGTCTGGGTTACTAACGCATCTTTTCTGCGGTGCTTCTTCGGTCTGGTTCGGTTTATCTCGAGTGTAGCACGTATTGTCCAAAAACACCAAACTCATAAAGTTCGACTCGGTTATTAGCAAATTCTGAATAGTTTCCAATGTGATCATCGTTTGACAACCGCTAAGACTGCATAGTGCAATAACACAAATTTGGAACACAAACATTTTTTAACTCGTATTCGTTGAGTGTCGAAAATAATCAAAACAGGTAAACTATGAACACCAAAAACTTTCATAAAAGAATAACCGCTCACACTACTGCAATGCGGGTTAATACCTTGCTTGGTTACATTGTACCTATTTAGTTTAGGAACGAGCTAAGGCTTTATTTGTTCAATGTTATGTTTGAAGAGCTGTTGTTATTCGCGCGCGTTTGACAAAAACAACATGGTACCGTTTCTTTTTCATGGTGACTTTGGCTGTACAGAAAGAAAAAGACATATTATTCTGTTTTATAATTTTATGGGTTTTAGCGCGCACAATTTTGATATATTTTTTAAAAAATAAATCTATTAATTTAAGATTTACTAAAAACTGTATAAAAAAAAGGTCTAACACTTTAGACGAATTTAAGAGCGTCATAGTCAACCAATCATACTGTACAACATTTATTGAAATAATAATACTTTGAAAAAATCGATTATAGATTATTCCGCTAGAAAGTACTAGCAAGATGAAATATAACAAATTATATTATTTTCGACATTTTCAAAAAAGTTATAGGGCATTGTAGTTTTAAGTTGAAAAATTTGTAATTTTTTTAGGTGTTTTTTTCGAATTTGATGGGGAAAAGGGTTCCTTTTTTAAATTTTTGGCCTTATAAAGTACCTTTCAGGTATGATTTCTGATCTGAGTTGCTACACGAAGAAATCGGTTCAGCAGTTTACGAGATATAGTGAGTCCAGACACACAAAAAAAAAACAAAAACACATCATTGTAAAAACAATACCTTCTCAGCTCCGCACCGAAGCTCAAAAAATAAATAATAATTATCCATCGTGGTAATTTCAGCGATTTTTTATTTGAGATATTATTAACGTATGAAGCAATATTGAAATTTATTTGTGATAGAACTTATATAAATAAATTATAAATATAAATTTGCGATTTACAGAGTTGCTACTCGAAGGAGTTGGTCTAGTATTAAAAAAGTTACAGTGTATACAGATAAAAAAAAAACACATCAGAGTAAAACCAATCCTTCTCCGCTTTGCATCGAAGCTAAAATAAGATTCTGTTTTTGTTTACTCGAAACTTAGAATTTTCGTAGGCCGTATTTGTTGATGAGTTGTTTTGAACGTTTTTATTATTTTGTCAAAACAACTACCTTGGTTTTTCAATCATAACGAAAATTTTTTTTTTTTAAACATATAATGTACTCGCTTTTACCATAACCTAAGTTCAATCAAAACATACCGTCAAACGTTAACATACGCAGATACGCAACACCACCGTTCCAAAAAAGTACAGTTTTCTACACACACATGTTTGTATATCTCTAGTTAAACTATCTCGTCGATTATTATTATTTCAGAGTGTATTTTATAGTAATATATTATATTTATTGATATCAATATAACAACTCTGGTGATAAAAAATTCCAAAAAATGTTCGTTGAAATTATTTAAACATATATTATTATGTATAATTGTGTAAATAAAATTGAAAAAATGAGAGTACACATATACACAATTTCAATACATGAAATATTACATGTACTTCAACTCTAGATTGAGTTGATAAAGCTTCAACGCTAATGAAATGGGATCATTTATTTTAAAAACTATAAACAAATTTGACTGTATCATAGCTAATGAATTACCCTTTTCATACATTTATAGTAGTGATCCATCTAATCTAACTATCACTGTATAATATTACTGTATTATATACTTACGTACCTTTTACATAAACTTGTACTTGACGACGGCGGCGTCTCGGATTATAGTTTTTTGTTCTTGTGAAATAAGATAACATATATTTCTAGTCACATGTTGTTATTGTATCTGAATTAAAGGGTAAAAACATGATAAAAACAACTATTATAAAAATAGTTTCTGTCAATTTAATGGGGGATAAATAAACAATATTTGATTTACCTGAATGTTAGAAACAATAACTAAAAATCAGTCACCGTAGATTAGAAGTATTGGCATTGACTACATAATATTGTAATGATGTCAATTAATCATTTAAACAAACTTTTTTTTATATTCAAGATATAAGGTAGAAACCTTGGAAAGTATCTTAGTTTGTATGTAATTTGGCCCTTTCCGTTCTCATTCGTATACTTAATGAAAACAAGAATACAAATAAAATAAATGAACATACAGAAAATTATTCAGTAATATTGTATATGTATTAATTATGAAGCATAATATTTCATTTATCGTATGGTATTATTTTTTATGGTTTTTGTTCACGCCAATAGGGCGGTAGAACATGTGCAGAGAAATTCCCAGGGATTGGATACGACAACTCTAAAACCGACTTGATGAAATGTTGGTCCACATTACCCATACATTTTGCGACTTCGTTGACGAAAATTACAGCTGACTCGTGATTTTTCTTTATAGCGGTCGCGAATTCCTCCAACATGCTTACCTCGTGAAGGATTTGCCGAATGTCTTCTTCGACTTTATGCCAGACTGTGCAGCCTGGAAAAATCGAAGAGATTTCCAACAAATCTAATCTGATATTATCGATAACCGCATTGGAATATTCCGGCAAAGGACTTACGACTTGCAAGAAATTTAACGTTTTGAATAAGGGCTCGTTGTTGTGCGACCCGGTAATGTTGACGAATGTAGTGACCGTCTCGTGCATTGCAGCGTTCGATTCTCTTCTGTTTTCGTCGGTGACCAGCAATAAGTGAATGTATATTATTCGGAATATGAGTATATTGATCAGCGTGAAGAACAGTGATCGGTACTGCCTTACACCTTCTAAAGCAGTGTACAGGTTCGTAGGATCTAAGGCCTTCTGGTACGCTTTTGAAAACTCACCGGACACGTCACCCCAAATTTCGTAGAATTTGTCAGTTGCATTTGTGATAGAATCAATATAATGAACAACCTTATTTATATTTTTATGACCGAAGAGCAAGTTGTTGACATCGATGAGTTCGTAGGACTTGTTTTCTTTGGTGACACGTATCAGGTCCGGACGAATTAGGTCGAAGTGTTTTTTAATCTTGTTGGAAATATGTTTGACCGTCTCAAACTTACTGTCGACCAAGGAGAATTCGTTGTCACCCGGACAGTCCATCATGGACTCCGACAGTTGTTCCATGATCATTTCGTGCACATATGTCATTTGACTGGGGCTAAATATTTTATAATATTCGATAATATTTTCAACGTACAAATTGAACAGCCACATCGGATAGAGGATCCCGCTGCCATAGTTGGCGTTGATGTTGTAGAGTATCACCAAAGCGTCTTTTGGAATTCTTTCGAACCCTTCGAACTTAAGCGGGCTGAATTCACGCATCGTGGCTAGTTGCATAACTGACAGACATATCGTTTGAATGCCGCACCGTGTGTTTAACTTTATCTCTTCCACTGTGCTGGCTAGATCCTGACTGGTGCTTGGATTGGGATTATTGTATCCCAGGTCCAAATATATCAAAAATCTATTGTAATCTTCATGAAGGAATTGTCCTTTACAAATCGGCTCGAACGCCCCGTACACGTCTAGAGTGTAAACGCAAAACAACAATGTCGACAATAGAAAACCGCGGTGATCCATCGGAAACGATTATTTTTTACACAGACAAAAAGTTTTTAGTTTATAATATTTCAAATCCTGCTAAAGTCAATTCCGTCATACAACTGAGCTCTGGCTTTTTCGACTCGACTACTGTAAGCAACTACATGTACTGAAGAACATAGTAAATAAACATATTATGAGTAATAATAATACATGAAAAAATACTTTTCACTTATTAATTGCGTTAGTAAATAAAAAACCTTGAAGGGTTGCGTGTAAAAACACAATTTTTCAAGTATTTTTCGGTTTGATGCAAACAACATTTGATCAATAGCATTTTTCTAAACCAATACACATCCACAAAAACAATTTTACAAATTTTCTTGTAGGATATTAAAAAAAAAAATTTTTTTTCTATCCTAGTCATATTATATACGAATTGTTAAAATTATGGAAAATATTTAGGCTTGGGTAGCTAGGCTATTTAAGTAGGCAATTGTGCATTTCTTATAAAGCCACACTAT